TTGGGGCACCTTCCCCTGTCACACACAGAGCCACAGGGCAATCAGGGGGTTTGGGCGCTGCCCCCTGTCACGCTGATCCCGGTGCTGGGAGGCCTCACTGCTCCGCTGATCCCGGTGCCAGGAGGCATATTACCCTTTTACTATATAGAATAGAGGCCTGGTGCACGGGTGGGGACCGGCTGGTTTGCCCTGAAGGGTGTCCTGGATCAGGGTGGGGGTCCCCACTGGGGTGCCTGGCCAGTCTGAGTGACGGGCTGAGGGCCGTTTTCAGGCTGGCGGGTGACTGAAGCTCCCAACTGCTCCTTTTTTTCTTTTTCTTTTTTCTATTCTGGGCCAGCTTTAGCTCTGAGGCCTCGCTGCTGAAAGCAGGTTTCTGGCCTTTACCTTCTGTATTTAATACAATGTTGCGGTCCGGCTGGCTGAAGCCCGGCTGACTGAAAGCAGTTTTCTGGGGTTTTGTTTAGCTTCTATATTTGCAACATAGTTGCTTAGAGTTGCAGCTGAGAGGCCGGCAAGTCAGGCGGGGAACGTTGGAGTCCACAGTCACTGGAGCAAGCAAGCCTCCCTGTTCACTTCAGTGCATGGCTGCCGGCTGCCATCTTGGCTGATAGTTAATTTGCATAAGGATATGATGATTAGCCAATGGGAAGGGTATCGGTCATACACTAATTACCATGTTTCTCTTTTATTAGTGTAGATGCTTTTATATCAAAGAGGACTATACTAACTCTTTGTTTTTGAAGGGTTTAATATATATAGGTAATACTTTAAAATAGCTTTAACTTTAAATGCACTATATAGTTATTGTGAAATGATTTGTATAAGAAATGATTTATATATTTGATATATATTAATACCTGGTAGGAATAGTTGAAATTATAATCTTGTATTTATTATGGAACTATCTTTGTGAGGTAACAAATTGATCCAATGCTAAATAACTTTACCTAAGAACTTTGATTATGTTTTTTGTATCCAGATATTTCAAATGACTGGCACAGTGAAATAAATTTGGAGTTCAAGTGCTATTACTGTATAAGGCAATGTGAGGCATTCATAAAAATTACCCACCATAAAATCACCTTAACCCCCCTGATAGAAAAAAAGACAATGAGTTAGGAATTGTGTAAATTGCATGTTGCCGAATGTTTAGGCTACAATTATGATGACTTTTCCTCTGTGTGTTTGCTGTCTATCCTCTTTTCATTTACAGCTGCTCATTTCCCAGCATGTTTGAGAAGAATGGATTCATAGGGTTTATAGCTACCTACTGTGCCATCTACTTTCAGTAACAGTTGGTTTCCTAAGTGAATTGGCAACTAGGCATATCTTAGTAGGGTTTTGTTTTATTTTCTATGATGTTAAAAATAGTTTGTGTTTGAGAAGAAAAGGAAAATCTTTGTGCCTGAATTGGCTTTTGACAACTCTTTAAGTGCCATTACTCCTATACAGGACAGGATATGGTCCCTATCATTTAATAGTGCTGAAATGTCACATTCTTAAGACAGCTATTTTATGGCTCCCCTGAATAACTGAGCCCAGCGCTTCGCCCTGGAATTTAATAACTTATGTCTCCAAATTCCTGGGTAAAAAATAGTCTTCCTCTTTGAATAAAAGTTGCCATGGCAATTGACAAACTTGTCAAACACCAAGGCCAATCTTTAGCTTTTCAATATTTTCAAAGATGTGAGTAAATATAAAGGTGTATTATCACATACCCGTATCAGTGATTGTAATTAGGCAACATGTATATTTTTGCAGATAATCATTATTTAAGCATAATGATATTATTCTTTATGTTAACTTTAAGACTATATCTTTTTTTTACATATTTTATTGATTTTTTACAGAGAGGAAGGGAGAGGGAGAGGTATAGAGAATCAGAAACATCGATGAGACAGAAACATCAATCAACTGCCTCCTGCACACTCCCTACTGGGGATGTGCCCGCAACCAAAGTACATGCCCTTGATCAGAATCGACCCTGGGACCCTTCAGTTCGCAGGCTGACGCTCTATCCACTGAGCCAAACCGGTTGCAGCCATGGGCAAACTACGGCCCGCGGACCGGATCCGGCCCGTTTGAAATGAATAAAACTAAAAAAAAAAAAAAGACCGTACCCTTTTATGTAATGATGTTTACTTTGAATTTATATTAGTTCACACAAACACTCCATCCATGCTTTTGTTCCGGCCCTCCGGTCCAGTTTAAGAACCCATTGTGGCCCTCGAGTCAAAAAGTTTGCCCACCCCTGGGTTAGGGCTAAGACTATATCTTGACTAATTACAGAGATATAGGTGTTAAGGGAAATACCAAAGTCCTTTTAAATGTGTTGATTGCAATAATTATACTAAATTCTATAGTGAAAATCTGCAGTTTTAAAGAGGATACTATTTAGTATTTATGTGGAAATTTGGCAACATCATAGAATCTGTTACATAATTCACCTAAAGATTACATCTCTGACTTTAGTGTTGCTGAACTGTTTATAATAATTCTAGCAATAGGGAAAAATTAAAATTCTTATTTAAACTCATAGACAATTTTCTTCAAAACCACCCCTTTATATGATTCGTTGGGAAATTACATGAATCATTATCACTTGTTATTCAGATCTGATGATTTCTGGCAAGTTAGATTTAAATTCTCATTTCTGCTATGTGATTAGCTAGAATACCAGAATTGAATGGGAGATGTTTATTATACAGATGTGTAAATCTCTAGATTAGTTTGCCTTCTTCAGTGTGTTGCTTAAGTTGAGTCTCTTTTGGTTGCAAGTTAGGGAAACTTGTTTGTCAGTTAGGATTCTTTTAGTTGACAATTACCCAACAAAAGGTGTTTTAACAATAAAAGAGATTTCATGGTTAACACACCCAAGTGTAGGTCACACTTATATGTACCTGATCGGGGATCTGGCTTTTTCTTTGCATTGATTGTTCTGTTCTCATCTATGTTTGCTGTGTCTTCAGGCCGGATTTCCTCTTGGCAGCAACATGTGGGCAGTAGTTCAAGTCTCACACCTACATTTCTCAGCAATCAGAATAAGAGAAAGTATCTCCTTTAAGCTTCTAGATGTCTCATTAGTTGGTCTTTCTTACCATGCTTTTGTGCTCATGATCCCCACCAGCCCTTGTGGCCTTTGGAGTGACATGGCAGAATGGCTTGTGCCCAATGGCAAGGAGGGGACCCACCTCAGAAGTTCCCAGTGGTGAAGCGCCAGTCAACAGGGAAGACCCGCTGGCAACATAGTCGCAATGCTTGTTACCCCCTCCCCCCAAACTCACATCATCAGTGTCTTAATCTTCTGGAAGGGAGTGCTGGAAGCCCTATTAAATCTCTCTTGGGCTGCATGGAATCTTCTTCCTTCTTCTTCCTTTGTATCTCCTTTTTTCTCCTTTCTCTGCATAATTTTCTTATCGGTATACACACAATTCAATGTTATACCCAGAGTTTAATTGGAGGTTTACTTAGGAACTTTTAAAAAGATCTTAATGTTAACATATAATCACTGTTCTCAATATTTACATTTAGGGTCAATATTTTTTTTTTAGTCAAGCAGCAAAATCTAGTACTAAAAATATTCCCTTCCTTTGTGTAGTCAGTTTTCTATATATATCTAGCCTGATGGCTTGTGAAAAGGTAGCTGGGATTCTTGTTTTGACAAGATTTCAAGAATAATTGTACTTTATTTAATTAGAACAACCAATAAATGCATTAGACAATATTCACATCTCAAACATTATTATTCAAATCACAGACCCTCATTCAATAACCATTATTCTTACATATACCTGAATGTTTTAAAATATGTTCTATCTAGTGGGCTCCACAAATGGATATGCACAATTACATTTCGTGGTAAAAAATATATATATTTGCAATTTGAATTAGTCAAGAATCATTTTATTTTCTGGGAATTTCTCTCCAAAATTGCCTTTTAAAACATTTAAGTCTTTGCACTGAGCGAGAGACATGAAAAATAAAGGTTCTGTAGCAGGCACCATGGTGATACCAATAATGAGAATCACATAAAAGTAGAATTTAGTAACCCCAATTATAGAGAAAAAATATATTATCCATTTCTAGGATCTTTAACTTAAAGTAGGCCCTAATGTAACCCCAGCTTTAAAGAAGAGAAGTTTGAATTTGTTGTCACTCAGTGGTAATTATAGTTCAAGTTTTCATTAAATAGTTCCAAGAGTGGCATTTTCTTTGGTCAGCAATTAGATCCCTGTAATAGAAAGACTATTGTTTATTTATAAATTTCTTCTAAAGAAGCCTACTAATTTTATATATTTTTTATCTAATTCACATCCACTAGAGGTTAACTCCTTTAGCTGTTTTGAAGAATACTAATACTTAATTTCATAGTATCATTATTTAGTTTGTATTTTAAGAATTTTTGGGGACCGTATTCTGTTCATTTCTTTTGAGAACTGACTTTTTTTTCTTTTTCATGAAACTCTGTCTATAACTCTGTAATTTACATAAATTGGGTTAAATGCCTCTTTTCTCTCCAGCCCTATTGAGATAAAATTGACATGTAACAGTGTGTAAGTTTATCTATAAAATATGTTGATTTGGTACATTAATATATTACAAAATAATTACCATGATAGCATTAGCTAACACTGACATCATATCACATAATTACCAGTTCTTTGTTGTGGGGAGAACATTTAATATCTACTCTCTTAGCAACTTTCAAGTACATAATACTGTACATGTATTACAGTGTTCACTATAGTCACCATGCTGTATAGGAGATTCCCAGAATTTATTGGGCAGTTTGTACCCTTTGACCAACATCTCCCTGTTTCTCCAAAACCCCAGCCCCTGGTAACCACCATCCTACCCTGTTTCTATGAGTTCAGCGTTTTTAGATTGCACATATAAGAACATACAGTACTTATCTGTCTCTGACTTATTTCACTTAGCATACTGCCCTCAAGGTCCATCCATGCTCTGTTCTTTATGTGCATTTTTCTCTATTATAACAGGAGGACACAGATCACAATTACTATATATCTCGGATATATGGTCCATCTGATTCGGCCAGCCGGGATTTGTGGGTGAACATAGACCAAATGGAAAAGGACAAAGTGAAGATTCATGGAATACTTTCCAATACTCATCGACAAGCTGCAGTAAGTGCTTTGACATTTCAATTTTATTTTTCCTGCTGCTGCTGCAAAAAAATTTGTTTTAATTGACATATCAACATTTCTTGTTATGATCACTGTTCAAGTATATTTAGTTCTGCAACTGCAATTTAGATTAATAATTGCATATAAGATATTATAGAAAATGAAAAATAATTATTTTGAGGAGCCACCTTTAATTAAACTATTAATTAAATTAATTAACAATTTTCCTAATGAGAGGATGAGTTACATATTCAATGTTGAGATAGATCTTGGATGGTTTTCAGTTTTTTTGTGATCCATGAGTTTAGACAATATTTTTTAAAAATTACATTAATTTAGTATCTTCCATTTTGCATGGGTTTCTTACTCTTGGCCTGGGAAAGATGTAACCAGAAACATTTATGATTCCGATACACATATAGACCAAGATAGAAATCTAAGTGAAGAAGTTTGATATAAAGGAAAAAATTAAACCTAGAAGTCTCCAATTATATTTTAAGCCTGAGTTCATTATTTACCATCTGTGGTTTCTTAAACAAATAATGAAACTATTCTGAGGCACAGTTTACGCATCTGTATGGTAAGGATGACAGGGGAAGTTATATAGGATTCACCTCACATGGTCATTGTTATCCTTTTCTACCTTATAGACTGAATGCTTATGCAGGTTAGCTTTTCAATGTTCACAACAATCCTATGATTTCAATATTATTACTGTGCAGATATTGCAGATGAGAGAATGGAGTCTTGGAAAAATAAGGAATCTACCTACAAGTCTCTAACTAGTAAGTGATGAAATTAGGATGCTAACGTAAGCAGTGAAGCCCACACTCAAAATGTGTGTGTAAAATTTGTCACAGTTGGTTTTCAGCAGATTTTGAGAATTGCTTCCTGATAAGTGCCTAATTTAACATTTTACAAGTTATTTAGTTTTGCTATCATAGACAACAGTGGTGATCTTACTGTTAATGAGGTGATGTCTTGTTCAGTTTAGTATGACTTAAAGTGAAACAACTTTAAATTTTCAAGTATTCTGACATTATTGATATAAAGCAGGGGTTCTCAAACTTTTTAAACAGGGGGCCAGTTCACTGTCCCTCACCGTTGGAGGGCCGGACTATAGTTTAAAAAAAAACTATGAACAAATTCCTATGCACACTGCACATATCTTATTTTGAAGTAAAAAAACAAAACGGGAACAAATACAATATTTGTATTTGCATGTGGCCCACAGGCCGTAGTTTGAGGACCCCTGATATAAAGACTCAATGGGTTAAGTGACTCAAAGAGGCATGGATTCGGTAAATGTAAAATATCAAAAATTTTGGCCACAGCCTTTATTGTATATATATGTACTAGACTTTCCTATTTCAGGAGGTCAGCTTCTAACAGTTAAAATGGAAGTTAATTATAATCCACCATAATGATTTATTCAATTTTCAATATAGAGCACATGTTTTCTGAGGCAGAGAAGCAAAGTAGCCAGCTTGCCCTGGCTGGGTGACTCTGTGGGTTAGTGTCCTCCCATACACTGAAAGGTTGTGGGTTGTATTCCTGTTCGGGGCATGTATGGGATGAAACCTATGGATGTTTCTCCCCCCCCCCCCCCCCTATATCCCTTTCCTCTCTCTTTCAAATCAATAAAAAACATGTTCCAGGGTTAGGATTAAAAAAACAACAACAACATACACACAAAAACACTACAAAGTAGCCACCTTTCCTTGCTGAATTTCATCATCTGGCTTTTCCATATTCAAGCAACCCCAGGCAAGATGACAGATTTAGAAATGATTCACTGTTGGGTTTAGAAATGGATCTTCAAAAGAAGACAAAATGATTATAGTAGGACAGTGTCTATTAGAAAGTTATTGCATCTTCAGTAAATTCCACTTTGCTTTACTAAAATATATATAGGACAGATGAGGCTTACATGCCCTCTCAAGCTTAGGGGAAAGGGGGTTGGGAGTTATGGTTTGGGACTTTAAAGGGTGGAAAGGCAATTCACATGGAGATGAAACAGCAAATGTTTGGTAAATAAATGCTTGCTGGGCCATACTCAACAAAGGGACCCAGTGAGGACTTTGATCAAAAGGTTCTTACTAGCTTCCTCCCTGTCAATCGCACTTAATTCATGTTATCTAAGATGATAGTTCTCTTCCTGGAGCAGGTTTTCTATCTAAATTCTTTTAGGTGGGTAAGGGGCCAAAGGTTTTTCCTGAGTCTTCTTTCTTGAAAATATCCAGCTTTAAAAATAATATCCCAAAAAGCATATTTTAGAATGGAAAACTCTGCTTCTCTTCACTATTATTACTTTTTTCTTTTTTTTCTTTGTTTGTTTATTTTGTTTTCTAAATTCTACCTAAATATAAAATCATAAGGAATCTGTTTTTCTCTATCTGACTTATTTCACTTAGCATAATACCCTCCAGGTTCATCCATGTTGTTGCAAATAGTAAGATTTCATTTGTTTTTTTATGGCTTAGTAATATTCCATTGTACATACATACCACATCTTTTTTATTCATTTGTCTATTAATGGACATTTAGGTTGCTTCCATATATTGGCTATTGTAAATAATGCTACATGAACATAGGGCTGCATCTTTTTGAATTAGTGTTATATATTTCTTCAGCTAAATACTCAGATGTGGAATCGCTAGATCATATGGTAGTTCTACTTTTAATTTTTCAAAAAATCTCCATATTATTTTCCATAGTGGCTGCACCAATTTACATCCCCACCAAAAGTACACAAGGGTTTTCTTTTCTTCAGTAGAAAAATCTGCCAATTGGACTCCATTTAATTAAATTTTATATCTGGAAACTTATAAATTAATAAAACATTTAAAAATTTTTCTACGAACATTCTTTCATAAAAATTAGTATGAGATTTATAATTTGTAAAGAGTGATGCATGGTTTAACATGTCCTCAATTGGCCTCCCCACATTTCCAATCCTTCCTGGATCTCTCTGCTCTGTTTCCATTATGCCTTCCTCTGAGTAGAATCAGGTTGTTAGAGATGAGGACAGATTTCTAATGTTAAGGCACTAGGGGACTCAGTAATATCCACAGAACCCCTCCCTTCAACCTTCACAGAACACACACACCATAACACAGCTGTTCTCCCTGTGATGTTACTGAGAGGTTTTAGCACAAGGGAAATGGCAAATGGGAAACAAGACATCCAGGTTGACTTGGTTTACTGATGTCATGATTATCATAATTCTTGATACAATGCTCTCTGGTAATTTGGCTGCAAACATTTAAGCCCTAAAAGAAGAGGGAAGTTTCTATAATCTCATCACCAAAGGATATAATTTGCATGTCCAAGGTCAAAAAAAAAAAAAAAAAAAGAAGAAGAAGAAATTATATACCTAGGGGCAGACCCAGGTGCAGTTAGTTAAGTAATCCAGCCCTGAGTAAGCAGGAGGTAGAGTGAGAAAGCTAGAAGATTGATTTTTCTGAAGACAAAGCTACCTTCCTCTTTCCTGGCTTCCTCAGAATTGGTCAGAGGAAGACAAAGGAGTGTCTGACTTGGTAGCATAATTTTTAAAAAAATATTTTTCCCTCTTCCACCATCACTCATGAATGTGGTCCAAAGCCATTTTGGGATCATAAATTAATATTCTAGAAAGAGGATGGTGGAAACAGTAAAAGTTATCCCTGTTCTCCATTAACATAATCCTATATAATAGAAGGCTAATATGCAAATAGACCAAACGGTGGAATGACTGGTCACTATGATGCACACTGACCAGCAGGGGGCAGCCTCACAACACAGGAGCTGCCCCCTGGTGGTCAGTGTGCTCCCACAGGGGGAGCGCCGCTCAGCCAGAAGCCAGGTTCATGGCTGGCAAGTGCAGCAGCGGTGGTGGGAGCCTCTCCTGCCTCCTCAGCAGTGCTAAGGATATCCGACTAACGGCTTAGGCCTGCTCCCCACCTAAGCCATCAGTCAGACATCCCCTAAGGGCTCCTGGACTGCATGAGGGCGCAGGCTGGGCTGAGGGACCCCAGAGTACACAAATTTCGTGCACTGGGCCTCTAGTATCTTAAAATTTCACAGCTGAGTATTTGTTTCTAAATCATTTAATTCATGTTTTACATGATAGAACACACTAACTTCTTTTTCTTTTTATACGTAAGATATACTCAGTATTTACATTACATATGTATATTGCAATTTCATTACATGTTCTTTCAAACCTCTCCATTGTGCATTTTGGTTTAAATAACATTTCTTAAATTATTATTAAAAAAAATAAAACAGATGTTAAAACCTTTTACCTTTGACAAATTAAAGGAAGGATCTTGTATTCCTAGATAAAGTTGAAAAAACTTGCAGTAAGTCCCTACCATATGGCAAGCAATGAGCCAGCACTTTATATTCAATTACTGGTACTTATTTGTTTTAGGTTGTTGTGTTTCATTTGTTTTCCGTTATTGAAAGTCATACAGTTGTCAGGTTGTAGCTCGGGAAGTTACTAACTACAAACCTAGGAACCTGTTTGTACCTGTTTCTTTCCTTCTGTGTGGAACTTCGAATTTCATAATTTTGAGATTATTTTCTATATTTCTAAATCATATACTTTCATCCATTGCTGGGCACAAAGTTTGATTCAGTAGCTAGTCAAATTAGAATTATTTTGCCTTCTGAAACTGTGGTTTATCAAATTCTGCTTTACAACTTGATACCACTCTCTGGTGGAAGGAGTCTGGGGTCATAGAAGTTATAAAACCTTGGCTCCAACTTTTTTTTTCTCAGGTTTTGGACTCCCTGCATTTTACTTTTACAACCTGCCCACCTCGACTACCCTTTAGTTCTCATTTGAGAATAAAAACGAAATAGCTATGAGAATATCAAAGAAAAATGAGATTGCAAATGCATTGTTATTAGAGAGTCCAAAAACATAATAAACCCCCAAAAAGCTAATTTCTAAGTATTCTCTAAGAATATAGGTAGATAGATATTAATATCAATATTATACCTCCATATACTTT